TGCAATTTTAAATTGTATTTTCGCAGTCTTTGCAATATTTCTATTAACCGTTTGTTGTGCTCTTCCAAGTTTGATCCATACACAACTACATCATCTAGATATAAGGTACCTGAGCCGAAAAAGGCCCAGCACAAAATATGGCCCACTTTTTAAATTACCGCTTATAAATGCACTTTATGCCTAAATTATATGCTTAAAAGATGTGTCATAGGGCCAATAAGAAGAAGTCTAGAGAACTAGAATCGGCAACAACTCGTTTCTTTAATATAATATAAACTTTGTGACGAGGTGAATGTTTGCGACGTTTTTATAAAAATCCGCTGTAATAAATTGTAAGTATTTTAAAAAGTTCATTACATGTACGATATTTTATAATTTATTATTACATATTATAATATTATTCAACTTCCTAATCAATGAAAATGACAAATATATATATCAATTTTTTTAGAATAAATATATTGTTTAGAAACGACACACTCATCAAATAAGGCCCATTAAAATGACCCCTGGGCCATATTAGATGCAGTGTGCACATTTGGCTCCCCGGCACCACGGAAAATCGCCCCACCACTTCGCCGCTGCGCGAGAGCGAGCGAGACAGCGAGTCTTGTAAGTGTAATAAATGGTACCACGAGTTATGTATGGGACTTACACCACAAGATACAGATTTTCAATGCTGTTAATATGTTGAAGTTAAAATTTATCGAGTTAAAGTTATCTAAAGTAAACAAATGTCAAAGACGATTACCAAAGATTATTTGTTATTTTAAAAAACAAAGTTTCTTTTCAAAAAAAAAACGTTGATTGTTCGTTTATCGTAACGTTTGTGATCGGGCTTTATTAAATACATATGCATGAAATAAGGCCCAAAATCAGATTTTTTATAAGTATTTTATTTGCTTATTTAAAAATCTTTTTCATAAAAGATATATATATTTTTTAAAAGTTATTGGAATAAAGATTTTATTCGTACAAAGTTTATTTCAATATCCTTATAAATAAAATTAAAAAAAAATAAAATATGTTAGGTGGGCCTTATTCGGCACACTTACAGTGCTTGTAAGCATCATTTTTCCTTGTCTGATATTTGATAAACAACAAGGATAAACTGGTGCTTATACGGTATCAGTTTGGAAACAGATTCTTAATGTAGATACATTTAATATCAATTTATTGAATATTTTGTAATATGTAGATTGTTTTGCGATTTTGTTAACTGAATAAGTGACTTTAATATTCACTTTTTTTGTTGAAGATAATATTATGGCTAAAACTAAAAAGACGCAAATAAAAAAACGTACTGAGAGTTGGAACACAGAGTCCATGGAAGCTGCTCTTAAAGCAGTTGAACGGAATAAGCTCTCACAGAGAGCTATTTGCGAAAAGTATGGAATTCCTCGTAGGACCTTGCGTAATCATATGAAATCTGGCACACCTTTAAAGCGTCTAGGACGAAAGAGTATTCTTACTATAGAACAAGAGAAGGATTTATCACAGCGGATTTTGCGAATGGCAGATATTGGCTTACCTATAACTTTGAAGATGTTAAAATATCAGGTATGTAATCTAATTAAATAAGAGAAATTATTTTTGCTTATTTAGATTTTTTAATGAAAGATATAAGTATATATATATATTCTGTTAAAGCAGTTTTTACTGCTTAAACGTTAATATAACTAATAGAAATACTTCATTACTAACAATAAGATCTACTTTGAGTGAATGTAGAATTTCTCTTATTTAATTAAATTTATTCTCATCGTTTCATATTGTTTACAGGTATACAAGTTTTGCACATTACATCAAATTCCTCATACGTTTAACACTATTGCGTGCACAGCAGGCAGATCATGGCTTACAGCATTTCTGAAACGCAATCCTAAAATTTCGAGAAGAAAGGCACAATTTATGAACCAAGCTCGTGCTCAAAAATTGAACAAATTTATTGTAAAAGACCACTTTGAAAAGCTTAATAACCTTTTGACAGAGCTAGATATAAAATTTAAGCCGGAAAGGATTTTCAACATGGACGAAAAAGGCTGTAGATTGACGATGCATCATCAACCAACTGTTTTAGCTCAAAAAGGTGCTAAACGCGTCCACTTCATCGCAAACGAACATGCTGAAAATGTTACTGTAGTTGGTTGTGTGTCAGCTATAGGTAACGTGATTCCACCTATGATTATCTTTAAAGGTAAACGCGGAAAGCCAGAGTTCACTGATAATTTACCACCAGGAAGCATAATAAGCATGGCACCAAAAGGCTTCATAACTACTGAGCTTTTTATAAAATTTTTGAATCACTTTGCTTCTTTCAAACTTGCTGGAAAGATTCTGCTTGTTTTCGATGGTGCTGCCTCTCACCTTGATTACACAATTGTGGAAGCCGCTGACAAACACGATATTGTACTGTATTGTTTACCATCCAATACCACCCATGAATTACAACCACTTGACAAATCAGTTTATAGATCTTTTGAGCACCATTGGGACCAGGAATTTCTAAAATATCAAGATAAACATCCAGATAGAAAATTCAACAAAACGAGCTTTAATATAGTGTTCTCAGAAGTGTGGTCGAAATGCATGACTCAATCTAATATAACAAATGGATTTAGAAGTGTAGGGTTGTATCCATTTGATCCTGAAGCCATTCCAGACTCTGCTTTTGCTCCATTAGTTCTAACAGAGCGTCCAACAATAGAAAATCAAACTCCAAACATAGCGGTAAATTCATTAATAGTCAGTGACGACATTCCGTTAGCCGAATTATTAAACAAGAATAAAGAAAATCAATCAACTGTTTCAAAAACGCCGTTCCAAAAACTTATAACAACTCCAAAACGCAAAGATTTCTCAGCTGGGAACTCGCAAAGAAAAAAAGCATTAAATTACAAAGCACAAAAGGTAACTAAAGATCTCTTCAAGAAGCAATATGACAAAAAGTCAGATCGACTTTCAACATCTAAAGCTATCACTCACTCCACTCCAACAGTTACTTGGTACTGTACGGCATGTAAAGAAGATCGTATGGAGGATATGAGGCAATGTACTAACAATAAGTGTAATATAATGGTACCACGAGTTATATGTGGGACTTACACCACAAGATACAGATTTTCAATGCTGTTAATATTTTGAAGTTAAAATTTATCTAAGTTAAAGTTATCTAAAGTAAACAAATGTCAAGACGATTACCAAAGATTATTTGTTATTTTAAAAAACAAAGTTTCTTTTAAAAAAAAACGTTGATTGTTCGTTTATCGTAACGTTTGTGATCGGGCTTTATTAAATGCATATGCATGAAATAAGGCCCAAAATCAGATTTAAAAAAAATATTTTATTTGCTTATTTAAAAATCTTTTTCATAAAAGATATATATATTTTTTAAAAGTTATTGGAATAAAGATTTTATTCGTACAAAGTTTATTTCAATATCCTTATAAATAAAATAAAAAAAAAATAAAATATGTTAGGTGGGCCTTATTCGGCTCAGGTACCTTACAAGGCATTTGAGCCCTTGTAATCCGGTTAATATTGCGTTCATCAACCTCTGGAATGTTGCTGGTGCATTTTTTAGTCCAAACGGCATTCTAGTAAATTCGAAATGTCCGTGAGGAGTGGAAAAAGCAATTTTGTTCGTATGCTCCTCCTGCATGGGAATGTGGTGATATCCCGATGCTAAGTCCAGAGTAGAGAAATATTTTGCACTTTCCAGCTGATCTAAAATATCTGTTATGTTTAGTATCGGGAAGGAATCACCTATTGTTAAGTCGTTAAGTTTTTTAAAATCAACTACGATTCGCAACTTTTCTTTTCCTGATGCATCTATCTTTTTAGGAACGACTAATAGTGGTGCGTTCCATTGGCTTGCGCTGGGGCGGATAATTCCTTCTTCCAGCATATGCTTAATTTGTTCATTCACTTCCTTCTTATGTTTCTCCGGCAGCCTATATAGTCGTATATTTATCGGCGCGCTGTCTGTGCGCGTGTTTATTTCATGCGCCACAACTGTCGTGTGTGTAAGTGCGTCTCCTTCTAAATAGAAGATGTCACAAAAATCCGTATATATTTCTTCGAGAGTCTTTTTCTCCTCCACATTCAGATGATTCATCCGTATCTGTGTCCGTAGCCTCTCGGACCGCGTTAGTATTGGTACGGTACTGCTCCCTGCCTGGATGAATGGACGGGCAGGGGGTGGGGCGGACTTTCGTACCGTCTGACACAGGTGCTCGCCAGCCACGGATGCTTCGGTGAGTACCTGTGTCGGATTGGGAAGGAGCCGACGACGCAGTGCCACCACTGCGACGCGCCCCGGGACACCGCGCAGTACACGCTGGAATACTGTCCAGCGTGGGCAGAAGAGCGCAGTGTCCTGAGGGCGGAGATTGGACAGGACCTCTCCCTGCCGGCGGTCGTTAGGGCCATGGTCGGCTGGGAGGGGGCCTGGGTGGCCGCCTCCTCCTTCTGCGAGCGCGTCATGCTGCGGAAGGAGGAGGCGGAGAG